AGAAAAAGCATGCTCAAGCATTTAATTCTATAAATATTGCTATCAATTGTGATGCATGAGCGTCATCACGATCATTATATGATCAATTGATTTAGATGCTTGAAAACACCTTAGATCACGCAAAGTTAATTTTTCGTTTTGCATAACGGTCAACAAATATGTCCCCTAAATCCTTGTACAAGTGTATTAATTAGGGGATCGACAATCATTCAACATCTAAATTTTATATATGTTTGATGAAAAAAATAGGTTTCAGACAACTTTGTCTTATTTAAACATCTTTACAATACAAAGTATGTTGTTATATCTTACTAAAACAAACAGCACTTTACTTACTTTTCTTTTTAGTTATTCTTTTTTAAATATAGTAACACTTTTAGTTCTTAAAGAATCTTCAATCAAAGTTACACAAACTTATCAATACTGATACAGTATGTTCGTTTTAAATTTTTGCTAAAAATTTTTTTTAATTATTGTATTTTATTATACTTACTTCTATGCCATTTTTGTGAAAAATATAGGCATGGATTAGAAAAAAAAAATGATTCATTGAATAAATCTTTTTTTAATGACTTAATTAGCAACTTCGAATATGTACCAGAGAATGATATTGAAGATATTGAAAGTATGGGGTTAGTGAGTGAAAGCCTTATATCAGATGAAATTGAAACAGAAAGTATTATTGATAATACATTAGACTTTGATATAGAGATTAATAATTTTCATTTTGATAAAGATAGCTTTGAAAGAGCACGAATTTTAGCAGAAGCAGAAGAAACGAATGATTTAATTCTTTTAAATAATATAGACAATGATGATCTTAATATAGATGACAATGATATATTAACATTGTCAGAGTTTGATTCAGTGTCATCTATATCTGGTTCAAATGAAAATGAATATTTAATTGAAAACTTAGAATTAAAAAAAGGTAATAGAACATTAACACCATGTCCAATAATAGATATTAATAATAGTCATATTCAATGTTGCTCAGCTTACTTACCAAAACAAAAACGTCTTCCCAGCTTGTTGGTTCTTGGGAAATTGATGAAACGATTTTTCGTCAGGCACAAAGTGAAAACAAACTTCCAATGATAGGTGTTTGCCAATCTCATTTTAATTTTGACCAGAACCAATTACATTGCCCAAATGCTAAACAAAAACGATCTATTGAAAAAAGTTGGGTCTTTTATCAATATTGCTTATTTTGTAACAAATCTAAGTGTTTTTTTAGTAGAGGTAAAATGTGTATACAACATTCAAAACATGTTTTTGAAAAAAACATACAAATACCATACGTTGGGCTTATGATCTGCCCTGCATTTGGACAAGAAGAGGAATCAAAGATACTTGATGATAATTCACAAGCAGAATATAGACCTCGGTATATTTTGTTCTGAATGCTATATTACTTATGGTGAACATTTTTATGAAAGAGTAGGCCATGGAACCAAGTCAAATTTTGAATGCATAGATATATATAAAAATGATATAAGCGAAGCACTTAAAATTTTAGGTTACTGGATTTTATATACGGCAAAAACCACTGATGAAAATAAAAAAAAAGTTTTTTAGTAAGTTTGGTTCCTGTTTTAGAAACATTTCTTAATGCAAAAACTTCCACAAAATCCATAGATCCTCCTAGTTCTTTTTTTGTTAAAACTGCTTTAAGATTATGGCATGTTAATTTGGCAAAGATTATTGAACAAAAATATACTATTACTAATGAAACCACTACAGATTTAGGAAGAGCTCTAGGTGTTGCAACATGGAGTACATGAAGTGATGTACAAAAAAACAAATCAAAACTTGAGAGCCCGGTATCATTAGCACAGTATCAAGAAGGATTTTCCTAATTTTTATTAAACTTTTTTAACAGATTTATAGATATATTGCAAAGAAAAAAACATGCGATAGTAACAAAGAAAAGAAAACAAAGAGGTTTTCAACCAAAAGTTTTTGATGCAAGCCGTGTAACTAAGATAGTTATATTTCTTGTATTAATGATTTTAAATATAGCATTTCTAGGAACAAATATATGGCTAACACATACTATGAGTTCGCTTTGTAAAAAGCCAAAATTACTCCACTGTTTATATAATATTTTATATGTAGCGAATGTAATTTCACATACTCAACAACATGAGAGGCTTTTAGAAAAAGCTCGGTTGCATGAAACAAAACCAGAAGAAAGATTATTACATGGCACTAATGTGTGGAACCTTTTGGTTATAGATAATATAGACTTTTTTGAGCAAACTTTTATGTACGGAAATATCTATGAAACAACTCGTAAAACAGCACATATGACTTTGAGAATGGTATTTCAATTTGTATTACCAGAGTTTATTAAACGTTGCAATTCAAATAACTCTTCTGAAAATAACCAATCTTTATTTGGTATATCAGATTTTACTAATTCTCTCCTTTCTCAATATGAGACAGTCTTTCGGAATTTTCTAGATACAAATAATGATGATTGGGGTGTTAATGATATTTTACAAAAGATTTCACAAGAAATACCAATTGGATGTAAAGTAAATCCGCCAAACGTCGTAATCTTTAGACCTGGAGATAACCCAAATTGTAATGAGAATGTCCATAAAGCGTGTGATTTGTATTATAATGATGGAATAGCAAATTCTAGATGCCTAGATATTGTATGTGATGAGGCAATCTTTCATCAGTTAATTGCATACAAAGAAAAAAATAAAGATAAAATAATAAGACCCCTCTTAGGTCAGTGGCATACTTCTCGTTGTATGTGTAATGCACTTATAAAGACTTTTCAGGATATGGTATAGCTAATACGGCAGCCAAGCTTGGTGTTCGCTTCCTTGATAAATTAGAAAAAGTTGTAGATTACCAGGCCACCTGCCGAGTCCTAGAACTAATTTGGATTGCTGTGGGAATCGCTATCTTTAAATATTTAAATAATACCAATCAAACTATTAATGATATTGAAAATAGTGAAAATTATGTGTTAAGAACATGGTATCGCTTTTTTTGTTGGGCTGGGTATTGGGTTGGGCACAAAATTGGTATTTGTCGGGGCAACTATGAAATGCAAATCAAAAACCTTGCAGCATTCTCACCTCTTTTCGCTGTTGCAGGAAATGTTAATTATACTAGGTCTGTGACATACTTTCTGTCTTACATTAACAAAGATCAACATTTTCAAGAATTGCTATGTCAAGTATGTTCTATAAATCTCACATGCCCAGGGCACTATTTTGCAATTGATGAGGCACTTGAACAGTTTGGAGTCTTGTACGTAAAGCAAAATATTAATGGAAAAACTATAGATACCGAAAAATTAAAGTTGAAAATGGGCTCAGTGCAAGCTGAAAAAGAAAGGTTAGAACTTTTATTGTCAAAATATTTGGGTGATACAGTTATTGCTGATCGAACTGTGCAACCACGAATAGAATTATTGTAGAGATTGGCAAATGAATTGTTTGATGCTTTTTCTCTAACTGACCCTAAAACACATGAATTATTTAAAGAAGCAAAGGAAATGACTAATGTAGGGTTTTACAATATTCTAAGCTATTATGACAAGGGTATAGCTTGGCTTGAGACAATTTTACATCAAGACGTGTACAAAACTGAAGAACGGAATACAAAAGGACGTCGAAAAAAAAATGTAGTAGTACATAAATTAGATATACCATCACAAAATAATCAGGTTCAACGATCACAAAATGATCAGGTTCAATCATCACAAAGTAATCAGGTTGAGAATGAGGAGGTAAGGCAGCAATCTAGTGATAGCAGTCAGCATGTAAAGCGTCAATGTAGACATACTACTAATATTGAAAAAAAGATACTCGAAGATATACTTAATCATGATTCTTTTCCTGAAGATATAGCTATTGAAATTCTAAGAAAGCTTCAAGATTATAATAGTCAAGATTGGGATATACAACATATATGAACTTATTGGAAAAATAATCATAACAATAAACGAAAAAAGACAAATTAAGAAACAAGCAATAGAAAGGTAATTTCTTCCAATAGTTTTCCGAATGTTTTATTTGAAAAAGAGCAACAATTGAAATAATATTTTGTTGACAGTACAATGATGTCAATATCGATTATTTTATCAAAAAAATTTTTTTAAACCCCCTTAAGGAGGATGCTGGACGGTGTATTTTATTATTTTTAACTATTCAGAATTATTTACATCATATTTTTTATATTAAATTACTTACTAGTCCGATTTGTTAAAAAAAAAGTAAGGTTTATATTATCATTGCTGTTATTTTTTTACTGTTAAAACTTTTAATACTTACTATTGTTATTATGTTTAATTACTATAATTATTAATTATTCTATACCGATACTGATATTGATATTATATTAAAAATCTTCTGTTGGATAGCATCTAAAAACATGATGATACAAAACATGAAAATTTTAAGGTAGCCTATTATTTATTATTACTACTATAAATATCTTGTAATAATAGTATTCATTTAAATTTTCAAAATTTCAGATTGTGTACATGTGGTTCTTTTTGATTATTGTTTTAATTTTCTTTAAATTTTAGTTTGTATCTCTAAACACAAAAAATTAGACGACAAAAAATCACTTACAATAAAGGAAAAATATAGCACATTCATTATTATCAAAACTCTTAGAGAGAAACTTAAGGATTTATCAAGCAGAGATAGAAGCGATAACTAAATAAATAGCCTTATCGTTATTAAAGAGTTAAAAAGGATGAACACTATACAGGTAAAGCATCGTGCATTGATGGTGTAACAATTTTATATCTGTGAAATCTTACATAGAATGTTTGTTTATTCATTATCAAAATCAACTAATACCAAAAACACTATTACAATATACAGTATCCCTTGGGCATTGTTACAAAATGGAATAGAGAAGAACGAAAATAAAGCGTTTGAATATTATCAAAATTCATCAACATTTGACCATGCTGCTGAAATATATGTTGGTAGTCATTATTATGGAATCAGAGTTCTCGCTGATATTGAAATAGAATTGGAGACGATCTTAGATCTTCATCATTGCTACGTACCTGAAATTCTATACTATACGGACGTAACAAGAAAATAGCTATTTATGATAGTTATGCGCGGGGTAGGGCGCATAACAGATTTATATGGAATTAGAGTTGACATATTGTCAAAAATCTGCTAACATGTTCTCACTAATAGAATATTAGTTGTTGATATTAAAATAGGAATAGAACCGATCTTAGATCTTCATTACTGCATATCTGAAGTTCTATATTATACGGACGTAACAAGAAAATGGCTGGTTACGATGGTTATGTGCGGGTAGGGGCACATAACAGATCAAAAAGGGCTAGCTTATGGGTAAGCAATTATAATCAGTCATAATTAACATTAATTATAACAATAATTCAAAAACTGATACTGAATACTTGTTACTCATAGGGTATTTTTGTAAATTTCGAGTGCACAAATGTAAGAAGTGGTTAGAAAGATGCGATGAATAATTTGCAAAATTAACTTTACGATAGAACATATATAATGATAGTTTAAAAATCGGTATATCGATATATAAAGAGCATGTTTACCGTCACTATGATTGATTCACTTAAGGTTTATTATTACAAACAAGATATTATTTAATCTAACAGCACTAGCATTGCAGTAGAAAATGAAAATATACAAATAAAATAAAATAACGATAACAATAACTTTTTAATTTAATAAAATTTCATTTTCATTATTATTTGCTTAGCTTTCGCTCTTAGCCATCTCTACCTCTGTAATTTAATTTAAATTTGTCATTCTTTTGCCATTAAATATATGTACGATTTTAAGTCTATTAAAATTTATAAAAAATTTAATTGTTTTTAATTAGCTTTAACATGAAAATATTCATTCATTTTAAAGAATCTTTAAAGAATAATTCATAATTTATTTTAGTAAAAAAAAGACTACGATACAAACTTTTATAAAATTAATAAGTAACATTCAAACTACATATTTTTTAGAAACAGCGGTTATTAAAAGATGATCCACATATATATAAATAGTAATACAAAAGTAATAATATTATATTTAAATTTTTTACTATTTAATGCATCAGAGGACATATTTGTTGACCGATAACCTGGTGTTTCAAAATTCCGGTAGCAGGTTGGATTTTTTTTTTTAAAAAAAAATTCTACTGTAAAATAATAGACTCATGTCATGTCTAAGGCCACGCAAGGTTGATTTTTCGTTATGCATAACATGGAATCAGAGAATTTCGAAATTTTGTTTTTTATCGGCGCGATCGGATAATTTCTGCGATACCGGATAAATTTGTGGGGGGAATAAATAAATAGCAAAAATAGAATAATTGACAAAAAAAATTTTTTTTTGAAAAGTTGGGTCGGTGGGTTATGCAAAACGTAATGTATAACTAATATAAACCTTCATATCTAGCTCTAACATAATTATTAATTCTACTAATCAAACTTTATGGCCCAAAATTTTTGTTAGCTATACTGGGAAGGATTGGATATTGAATACATTCATGTAATCATAAGCAGTGAATTTATAAAATAGACTTGAAAACTTTCGCCGCCGGCAATAAGTATTCGAATTACCGTACAGCGCTGCATACAGTATCCCTGGTCTTTTTCAAAAATGCCAAGATTAATTAAATAATATCCCCGGGGTACTATGTGAAGAGGAGGGTACGATACGAGGGGGATACTATGAAGAGTGTATTGATTATGTGAGTTGATCTAATAACAAGATCATTGATTCGGATCATAAACGTCATATAGTAATTATTTATCTGGTAAATAAATAAGCAAACAGTCGAACTTCTTTACATAAATATATTAAGCGATCGAACTTCATTATATAAATATATTGAGCGATCGAACTTCTTTACATAACTTAATATATTAAGCTTTATATAAATATATTGAAATGGGTTTACGAGCAAACAAAAGAACAATTCGTGCTACAATTGCAAAAAAAAACACGACGGCAGTGGAACACACGGGAAAAATAATATATGGGATGATTAATAATCAAATAATTAAAAATCGGAATTTTTTTTTTTAAAAAAAAAAACGGTAGATACAATGAATTTTCGAAGTAGAAAGTATTACTTCTGATAACGATAATTTAAATAGATATGTAATCGCAAACGCTAATTGAAACGAATAAAAAAAAAAAAAATAGCATGGCTTTATTACTGTAAACATATCAACAAAGTCAAACTTTTCAATAATTTTATTAATAACGATAATTTACGTATCAAATTTGTGTCGTAAAATTCGTCTAATCGATTAGCTACTTGATTAGTATCGCGATATTTTACAAAAATGGTAGAATTTACAATTAAATAATGTGCAGCGTTGTACGGTACTCCATTGTCAAATTACAGAGCCTAATCATATAAATATATCGAGTCCTTAATCCTATAAAGAATAAAACTCATCAAATAGCTGGTTTGGTACAGAATTTTGATAGTAAATAATATTCGCATTTATTGATGAGTTTTATCGTATTCATTTTTTCTTTAGTTTCCCCAGTTTCGCATTCGACTTTTTAAAAGTTAAAACTGGATTTCGACTTTTGATAATGAAAAACCACTAGGCTTCGTCTAATAACTAATAACTATAGGAAGAAGTACTTTTACTGTTTCTTGAAATATCCCGATGTTTTAGGATTGGTGATACGGTTGGTAACCATTAAGGACGTATTTATATGGCATTTACCATACCTTTGGTCTATAATTAAATTCATAGGTATCATAGTTTTGCAATATTTAATTTAGATGTTAAATAACTTTCTAATTAATATTTTGCATTGTTAACCTGATTAGAATATTTGCATTTCTCATCATTTTCAAAATCAAAATTTAAAATTTTTATAAAGGTTAAATGTAAATAGAAATTTTTAAAGAAAGTTTAAGATAGTGGTTCTAATAAGATAAAATTGACTTAAAGATTCTTACTCCAAAAAAAAAAAAAAAAAAAAAAAAAACACACAAATGATAAGAATAAAGCCTAGAATTTACAGATTAAGAAGAAAAATATTCATACCAGTACTATATTGATGACAATATAAAGATGATTAGATATCGTAGAAAAATTTTGATAAAATTATCTCATGTGTGCATGTTGCTTAAACACACATACATATTCTATATAATTTAATTTAAATCTAAATTGGAGAAGTTGCTCACAATTTCTACAGTACTAAGAGGTTTACTAATATATTCGGAAAAATTATTCGTATCATATAACTTGCTTGTATATATTTCTTGTGGATGGATCTGTTTATTCAATTCTGGTTTGACTTTATTGGCTTCCAAAATTTGTTTTTTGATTTCGTTATCATCTTCCTGATCCATTTCATTTAACCAGCATGTAATTATTTCAATAATTTCTGTTGCAGTAGGTCGTTCTTCAATTTCTTTATCCATACATTTCATAACTAATTTAATATAACAATCTGGTCCTAAACATTTAGGTCTTAATCCTCCAATAATTCTTACTCCAAGATCATCATTAAATGGGATTCCATCAAATGCTCTTTGTCCGGTCGAAATCTCTGTCGCAATAACTCCAAGACTGTAAATATCTGATGCTTGAGTATAGGGAATATCTATCAAAACTTCAGGTGCTATGTACGGTAGAATTCCACAAAATTTTCCTTCCTTTACTTCTTTTGAAAGTCCAAGATCAGTAACATATGCATCATACAAACCATCTCCTTGTAAAATATTTCCTCTGTGTAAATCTCTGTGAACGAGTTCCTGCGAATGAATCGACTCGAGATCCAAAATATATAGTACATGATGCCCAATTTATCCTTCCATTCCAATTGTGATACTTGTACAAGATTTTGTTGTAACGAACCTTTTAATGCATAATCCATAACAATAATATAATCACCATAATTATTCCTTAATACTCCCTTACATCCC